AAGATGAGAGATGTGTAGTAACTCAAAAAATTAAGTAACCAGTAAACTCCAAGAAAAGTATCTCCAAAGAAGAATGAAATATACAGGGTAGGGCAAAAGTAGGTTTACAGTTGTTTGTATGGAAAATAATACAATAATTAAATAATAATACAAGAATAAATTCTGTGTTTTGTGTACTCACAACTGTAAACCTACTTTTAACCCACCCTGTATATCACACAATAGATATAAGAACTAAAAAACTGAATATTAATCACTGTGTTAAAACAATCATATATTTTTTTCCTCAATAAGACAAAAAAAAAAGAAACTTCAGAAAAACAAGACCTAGATAAGAAAGCCGTAGTCCTAAACTGTGACATTACTTAAAACAGCTGATAGACTATAATGTTAGAAATTTTTTCTTTTGAATGGTACAAGGGCTATAACACAAACTATGGATAAGGAAATATGACTAGAAACAAACAATATTAATCTCTACATTGAAAACCATTTTTTATAAACAGTTAAAAACAGAATTGGTTACAAGGGGCCTTTGAAAAGTAGGCTCTTTTTTTTGTTTGTTTTTACTGTATTTTTATTGATTTCAGAGAGGAAGGGAGAGAGAGATAGAAACATCAATGATGAAAGAGAATCACTGATGGGCTGCCTCCTGCATGCCCCCTACTGGGGATCAAGCCCACAACCCTGGCACATATCCTAGACCAGAATCAAACCCAGGACCCTTCAGTCCAGAGGCTGACGCTCTATCCACTGAGCAAAACCCGCTAGAAAAAAAGTAGGATTTTTTAAAAAAAACTTCTACACATATTCATTTGATTAAAAATATAACATGATACAAAATAAGAATGAAGACAAGGATTACTAAGACTAGTGGGTAAAAGTGTGATGAGGAATAGGATATTTACATAGTCCCCCAGTATCTGTTCACAAATTCCTTATCAGCTGCCAAGAGGTAAACAGTAACTTCAGTGGACAAACATGGCAGACCTCACCTTAATCAAGTAATCAAAGTTAGTCAACATAGACCATGCAGTTTCAATAGGAAGCAAAGTAAAAAAGAAAGGTGTTAATAAAGAGAGGGAACGAGAACAAGAGACAGAAAGTTTCAATGAGGATGAAGAATAATCAGGTGGCCCTGGCTGGTGTGGCTCAGTTTGTTGGTGCATTCCGTGCACCAAAAGGTCGAAGGTTCAATTCTCAGTCAGGTTTTGGATTCGATCCAGATCAGGGTACATACAGTAGGAACTGATCAATATTTCTCTCTCTCTTTCTCTCTCTATTTCAACTTCCTAAAATATTATAAAATATCTACCATCTAATATATGGTCTTCTTAGATGCTAGGGAAGAAAAATTTAATAAAATACAAATCCTCTAAATTTTTTCACCAAATTTATTTTATCTTCAAATTTATTTTATCTTCTCCATTCTCAGTGCCATAATGTTGTAAAGGCCTTCATTATCTCCTAAATGTTCTAACTCATCTTCACACCTCCAATCACTCCTGTCCCCCAAATTTCACAATGGAATTAGTGTGTGTTTCTTTCTAAATCTCAAATTTGTTCCTTTCACCACCCTGTTAAAACTATCAATGGCATAACTAATGTTAATGCCAAATTTAGAGGGCTTGATCAATGACTGAGAATGGTACTTTTCTATCATATTTAACAGCAAATATCATTTAAACATATGAAAGCTTTTAAAACACGTATCTACTTTGGATAATTTATTTTTATTCAAAAAGATAAATCTATTTTGTATATAAAGCCTAACACTGTATACAGAGAAATTAGTGATAAAAGTACTCAATGTTTCTATTTATAGGAATTAACCCCAAATCATAAAATCTAATCATTTTGACCCACTAACAACTATAGAAAATAGACAATCTGAGCAAATTCTTATTTATACCTATAATGAAAATTTTCCTAAACTGTGTGGTTCCTAATACTCCTTTCAAATTTAGGATTTATTTAACTCCAACTTTAATTATGTATTTTTTATATTAACCTAGGAATAAGAATATGAATGTGATAGAATATAGAAAAAAACAGTTTCTGAAAGTATGACTTGAGCATCAAAATGTTTGTGCTCTTGCCTGGACAGTTTGGCTCAGTGGATAGAGCGTCAGCCTGCAGACTGAAGGGTCTCGGGTTTAATTCCAGTCAAGGGCAAGTACCTCAGTTGCAGGCTCCCAGCCCTGGTCAGGAGCTTGTGGGAGGCAACCAATCAATGTGTCTCTCTCACACACATCGGTGTTTCTCTCTGTCTCTCCCACTTCCCTCCACTCTCTAAAAATCAACAGGGAAAAAATATCCTTGGTTGAGGATTAAGAAAAAAAAGTTTGTGCTCTTGGCAGATCCCTCAGATCTGTCTCTTGCTGCCGGGAGCCGGTCCATCCTTGCTGTTTCAAGGGACCTGGCATATATGGCATACTGTTCTTAATATGTTTGCTCACCTTCTTGGCACTATGTGTTTTAACCAAGGTCCTCTCTGAGAAAGGTTGTTTCCTCAGGTAGGGATTTTCCCCTGAAGTTAGGGAGGGAATAAAACCGCTTAACTAAGTGCCAGGTGGGTAGTTAATCACTTTAACTACAAACAATCATGCTTAAGCTACATAATCTTTACTCCCTGGAATTGAGATAAGAAACACCCTAACCTTTGGAATAGAGATTGATAGGATTGGAATCAACTGGTATAAATACAGATGTAACAAGACAACAGGAGACAGAACTTAGAAGACAGAACCTACACACAGAACCTAGACACAGAACCTAGACACAGAACCTAGACACAGAACCTACGCACAGAACCTAGACACAGAAGAACTTCGCCGGAGAGAACATGGCAAAAGATCCTGGACAGGACCTGGCTACAGAACTTGGTTGGAGAACCTAGCCAGAACCTGGCTGGAGAACCTGGCGGGAGAACCTAGCGAGGGAACATAGCTACAGAACCTGGCTGGAGAACCTGGAGAACCTGGCTGGAGAACCTAGCAAGAGAACATGGACACAGAACCTGGCTGGAGATCCTAACCAGAACTTGGCTAGAGATCCTGGCTAGGCTGCTGATCAACTGAACGCTGTCTCCGTGTCATTCCTTCTTCGCCAACTCCGTCCACACCTTTGGGGACCCCTGGACCTGCTGGGGTTGGACCCCAGCATCTTGCTTCAACAGTGTTTGGATGGAACAGACCCAGGGACACCCCTTCTTCCAGCCTCGCAACAGTCACCACCTTCGGAACCACCTCAAGCCATCCTCTCAGCCTCTGAGACCAGCCAATGCCGTTTTTTAACCTAAACTCCTTATTGCCGAACAACATGAGCTCCCAAATTCGTCAGAATTATTCCACCCAGATGGAGACTGCCCTCAGCCACTTGGCCAACCTGCACCTTCAGGCCTCCTACACCTACCTCTCTCTGGGCTTCTATTTCGACCACCATATGGCTCTGAAGGGCGGGGCCCCTTCCGCAAGTTAGCAGAGAAGAAGCCTGAGGACGCCCAGTGTCTCTTATTAAAGATGCAAAATCAGCTCCGTGGCCGAGTTTTTTTCCAGGACGAGCTGAAGCCGGCAAAGATGAGTGGAACAAAACTCAGGACGCCATGGAAGCCGCCCTGGTCTTGGAGAGGAACCTGAACCAGGTCCTTCAGGAGCTGCAGGCCCTGGGTTCTACCCGCGCAGACCCTCCTCTCTGTGACTTCCTGGAGAGCCACTTCCGGGGTGAGGAGATGAAGCTCATCAAGAAGATGGGCAACCACCTGACTCACATCTGCAGGCTGGCCAGTCCGCAGGCTGGGCTGGGCAGGTATCTTTCCGAAAGGCTCACCCTCAGGCACCCTAGGAGCCTTTAGAGCCCAGAGTCCTTTGAGGGGCCCCTCTGGTGTCTGGCTTTTGCCTGAGCCTCTCCCTGAAACCACTAGCCATCCTTTTAACCACCCTCAAGCCCTTTCCCAAGCACGGGACCAAATGGAAATAATAAAGCTTTTTGCAGCCAAAAAAAAAAAAAAAAATTGTGCTCTTTTACACAAACAGAACTTTAATGGAACATCTACATTAGCTTGAATATGGTAAAAGCAGTAGAGGAAATATGGGAATATGCTTTGTTTTGCAACCTTGAACTGTGTATTTACCATTAGACTAGAATGGACTCAAATGCCCAGGATAGACCCTATACTCTTGAAATCTAAGTAAAATAAGATTTATAATCAATCTTCAGATAAATGCAGAAAAATTTTATTTAATAAAGAGATATTGGTATAAAAGATTTTGCTTCAAGAATTTATAACCACCCTGGCCAGTCTGGTTCGCTTAATTGGAGCACTTGTCCCATATACTGAAGGATGGCGGTTTAGATTCCTGGTCAGGGGACATGCCCACATTTTGGGTTTGCTCCCTGATCAGGGCATGTACAGGAAAGCAATGATCAAAGGCAATCTTTCACATCGATGTTTCTTTCTCTCTCTCTCTCTCTCTCTCTCTCTCTCTCTCTCTCGCTCTCTCTCCCTCCTCTCTAAAATCAATTTTTTTAAAAAAAAATTTAAAGAATTTATAATCATAAGTAGGTCACACATAATTAAGCTATGCTGACAACCAGAGAAAGACATTATAGAAAGAAACCTAAAGAGGCAATCAGTGTCGTAGTTTCCTGAAATAATACACGCACATACATGTACACAAAACCTTAAACTCTTCACCAATGATTGGGTTTTGTTTATGCATGAAAGATACCTTATTTGAGCAGAAAAAAAAAAACCAACTTAAATCTAAAATGAAACCTGAGGTTTCATTCATTTTTCTACTAACAATATAGGGTTTTTAATTTTGCTCTGACTTTGAAAACTCAATACAAACATTATCAAAAAGACTATCAAAAGCAAAGGCAGCAGCAATAACAAAAATATTTAGATGTTGTATATACATATTTATTAATCTGAGGAAAGACATTTACACTGAGATTTTATATCCCCATAAGAAATTTAAAATTATAACATCACTTACCAACCCAATACAGTTGCTTAAAGCCACTTTGGTTGTACTATGTTGATCTTCCAAGTATCCTGTGTAGTGACAGTTGTCTAAAAAATCATGTTTCCACTGAGGCCCATCTTTCCCCCAGTATTCTACGGTAAAATGTTTGGACACAAAATCCGTGTTGAGAGTCAAGTTTAGGTGAAAGTGCTTGCCATAGGCTGAAAGTTTAAAAAATAACTTAGATGCTGCCTGCTGTGGATCGATAGGGTCCATACTCCGTCTTCTCCTCGAGTGTTTATCATTTTTCACAGTAAAGCTGAGGAAAGCTCCATTTTGGTCAACCCTTATTGGAATAGTTAGCTGGTAGTGTTCTAGGTAAGTCAGGAATTCCTCTTCGTAATCATAAAGCAGAGTATCCAGAAAAAAAACACATGGAAGAAAAGATAATTTAACAGAACAACAAAGTAGCAGTGTAAATAACAACTATATCAGTTAAAACTATGAACCATCGTGGGTGAGTTATGGAAAAAAAATGTTATAGTATACAAAAATAAAAGAGTAAAAGTTTCAAATCTAAAGATGAATTAAGTTTCAATTATTTAATTCCTCAAAATAACATTATTTTAAAAGACTATTTTTATTTTTACAATTTAATTTTAAAAAATGAATTCTAAGGGGAAATTACACAGGAAATATAAATATTTTATATTGAAAGTTAAAACAGTGAAAAACACACATATGCAAAAAAATAGAATTTAGCTCAGATAAAATGTTTGTGAAAGTTATCCAAAGAGTTTATAAAGAATCTCAACAGCCTTGAAGACATTTTTAAAAAATAAATTATCAGCTAGCCACTTTGTGAAACAGTCTGGCAATTCCTCCAAAATTAAACATGGAACTAACATCTGACCCAACAATTCCACTGCTAGGTATACACCCAGAAAAATGAAAACACATATCCACATAAAAACTTGTACATGAATGTTTATGGCAGCATTGTCCATAATAACCAAAAGGAAGAAATAACCCAAATGCCCATCAAATGATGAATAATGAGTAAAATGTAGTATATTCACTTACATAATGAAATATTATTCTGCAATAAAGGGATACAGTGCTGATACATGCTATGACATGAACGAATCTTCATAATAACTGCCTTCATAATTAAAGTTCATTATCTAACACTATAAAAATATGCTAAGTGAAAGAAACCAGTCACAAAAGATTATATGTTATATGATTTCACTTATATGGAAATATCCAGAATAGGCAAATCTCTAGAGGCAGAAGTAGATTAGAGGTTGCCTAGGGCTAGGGGTGTAGAATGGTTTAGAGGGAATTTATGAGTGACTATTAATGGGTACAGGTTTCTTCTTAGGATGATGAAAATATTCTAAAATTGGTTGTAGTTATGGTTATACAACTCTGAATATACTGTAAACCATTTGAATTGAATACTGTAAATGGGTAAATTATATGGTATACCTATTATATCTCAATAAAGCTGTTTTAAAAAGTATCAGAATGACAAAAAATTCAGAGGACTATTAAATATTTTCCTCACTTAGGTGTACTAAATATTACCAATCTACCTTCTTAACTACATCTTCCTTTAGCGGGGTTTACTATCAAGGAAAACCAAATGGCTGCCTGATGCCTTACTGTCTCTACATGGAGCTCACTCACAAATACAAACTCCCATGAAACCATGACCAAATGGAAATAATTTGAAAGATAATATTTATTTTATTTCTCATAAATAAGAGTTCATACCAAATGCTATGGCTTTATTGATCTACTTTGAGATCCACATTTCGTATGTATAGATTTCTAGACATCAATCTATAATAGCCTTGAAAATCTGGTTTCTCAGCACCAAAAAAATGATCTGTTACTATACATTCATGGAAGGGGACTACAAAAAGTCTGCTTTCTCTAATTCTATAAGGATTGGACTGGCTCATGGAAAACAAAATGACATTTCTTCCTGGGTTCTTTCTGTTAAGATGTTTCCTATGATACAAAGTTCAATTCTATGAATGAAAATCATAGGGCTCTATGGGTTAGAATTTGAAAAGTTGAACTTCTCACCACTTTTACCTTCTTACCCAGGTTCTAGATCTTAGATCAGAATTCTTAAGTTAGAAAAAGCACTTTTTCACTAAGGGTCCATATTTTAAAAATCTTATATCAGAACTAGAGGCCCAGTGCACAAAAATCATGCACTCGAGGGGGGGGGGTCCCTCAGTCTGGCCTGAGCCCTTTTGCAGTCCAGGAGCCCTTGGGGGATGTCCCACTGACAGCTTAGCACTGCCTCGGAGGCGGGAGAGGCTCCCACCACCGCCACTGCACTTGCCAGCCATGAGCCCGGCTTCTGGCTGAGTGGCGCTCCCCCTGTGGGAGAACACTGACTGCCAGGGGATAGCTCCTGTGTTGAGTGTCTGCCCCCTGGTGGTCAGTGCGTGTCATAGCAACCGGTTGTTCTGCTGTTTGGTCAATTTGCATAGTAGCCTTTTATTATATAGGATATGTCTAGTTTCTTGCTCTTTCATAGTATAAACCTTTGGGTTCCATTTGAACATGACTTTACCTGTACACTCTAGCAATGAATGAACCTATCAATGTTTCGGATTCAGAAGAAGATGCCTGGTCTATATCTTTTGAAAAAGACCAGTCAACTCTAAAATCCACTGGATATTAAATACCAGTGAAACAAGTTAAACAGACTTTTAGAGGCCTTAACATTTATGAAATGTGCACTGAACTGACACTGTAGGCCTCTGCTCCTATCACTGCATATCCCAAAGAAAATGTTCACCCAAACCAAATATTCAGTCCCTTTGATAGTTCAACTGGTAGAGTGCAGGACTGTAGTTGATTAATAGCAATATTTTTTGTCAGTTTCAAAAGCAGGAATCCTACCTTGTGAACTGTATGAGAGCCGGTGGTCACTATGAAATTCCGATGAAGCCATGATGAGGCTCAAAATCCAGGTCAACGTCTTCCACAAAATTTCCATAATTTAGCAAACTGGATGATTTTTTGGAGGGTTACCTATGTGCTAGAGAGTCAATACCACAGCAAATTAGTTATAAGATGGTCCACTGTTTAACAGGTACTTTTTCCCAACATCCTGTACTTTCTTCTATATCTGGATTCATTTTCTCAATCCAAAATGAAAAATTAATGATGGTAAAATGTTCATAAGCAAAAGCATTAGGCTGATTAGTTACTAAAGTATGGCCATTTTTTAACATAGAAAAACAGGAAAATTTTAAGTTAACTGAAAAATACCCTGAACAGACAGATCTATATTGCCGAATGCTTGCCAAAGGACATGTACTATGAAATAACTTAATATAGTTAAATTAGGCCATTGTTGTTCTTTATAGTCTAAATAAAATTCACAAGACTAAACACAGAGTTAGAAACCAAAATGTTTAGCAGGATAATGTCAAAGCTATTTAATAATCAAAGAACAAATCTGAAGAGAAATAAAAACTCTTTTAAAAAAATACTTTGAAGATAACAATGTATGGGGACAGTGACTAAGCTCCTTTTGATAAAAAATAAAAAGTAGGCTGACTTCACAATCAAAGTTCATTTTATGAAAATGTTAAACAGGATGTGATCCCATTCCTTTACATGCTTTTTAGAACACTCAAATCCACAGATTGAAGTGTGCTTTATGAGGCACCTATCCTTCTTTTCTTACAGACTAGATTTACAAACACACAGTGACATTTAGCCGCTGTCTGAATGCTCAGACAATAACACAAACTAAACTTCTGAAAAGTTTAACCATATTTGCTACAACCCTTGACTTTATCTGGAAGTCTTGTATGACTTATAAGGCAACACATACAAGCCAATGTCAACTACCTAGAATCTAACTGAAAGGAAATGCAATTCATTTTCTGAAAAAAAATAATAATTTTTTAAAAATTCATTTCAGGTATCACAACAGATTTCATGTCCCATCTCATGGACTTTCTCTTCAACTTATAACTTCACTCAGAGTCCATGAATTTACATTTTATACAGAAAACTAGTGTACTTGGCTACCTGATTTCCCAACAAAAGAACCGGAAACTATCTCACTAACAGCATAATAGTGACCAAAAAAGGATAAAAAACTAAAAAGTAGTTTTAGTACCCCAAATCAATACTGTTTGGTGCAGAAGCAAGCAGTCCTCACTTACATGGTTTAACAGTTACAGCTGTGCATATAACTGTGTTACAGTCAGTGTCTGATACTCAAAATACTATGCCTGAGCTAGGAGCAAAAGATTAAATTGCTCTAAATAAGATAGCTTCCTACAGCCTGGCTAGTGTGGTTCAGTGGTTAAGTGTTGACCTATGAACCAGGAAGTCACGGTTCAATTCCCCATCAGGGCATATGCCTGGGTTGCTCGATCCCCAGTTTGGATTGAGCTCCCATCCTCTCTAAAATCAATAAAAACATATATTTTTTTAAAAATATAGCTTACTATAAATATAGAGAACTACACAAAAGATGTTAGAGATTTTCATCCCAGGTCTCTAATATATGGGCTTATCATAATAAATGGTAACATATTTGTTGGTTAAAAAAAATGAATGAGTAAATAAATGAATAAATAAATGGTTGTTACAATCACTTTAGACATATAAAAGGATATTTGTAGTTCATTGGAAAATTATGTGCAATACTTTATTCCCTAGGATGCTAGAAATATCAGTTTTATAACATATAAAACAATCACAACCATTTAAAATTCTTTGTGTCTGTCTCTACAAGTTATTAAACTGCTAAACTTTGGAAAAACTAATTCATTAATCAACAAATATTGTCTTATTATATTTTCAAAAGGATATTATAATCTCCTTTGAAAAGATTAAGGCAGAATCATTGCTTATAATCTAAGTAACAAAGAAAAAATTCAAGGCAGACTGACATATGCCCTAACGAAATTATGAAAAGGTGTTACAAATCAGATGAGGGAGATGACTTCTGAATCAGAGAAAGATGAGTCAAGGAAAGTTTATTTAAAAAGTAGCCTTTAAGGGGGGGGGGTAAAATGGACACATATGTAATACCCTTTGTAATACTTTAAGCAATAAATAAAAAAGTAAACAAACAAAAAATAAAAAATAAAAATAAATAAAAAGTAGCCTTTGAGATAGGTCCTAGAAGATGAACAGAATTTCACAAGTCAAATTTCTGGAGGCAATCATTATAAAGAAATAGATTCCACAGAGTCCAAATGGTAAGACAAAAATGGAAAATAGTATTAATAATAATAGTAAGTTTGATTCATATGCAGAAGACTAATAGGTAATATCTAGAAAAGTAGTTTAAGGTCAGATCAAAAATAAGGAGAATTTTAAATATATTACACTTCTCTGAATATTCACAACAATCTTATGCAGGAGGATTAATGTCCCTGTGTGAGGCACACTCCAATAATAGTACTTTCTGATATCCACGCCTTTGTGTAATGCCCTTCCCTCGAGTAATTTGCTCCTAACCACTTGAAGACCTCAATGTGGAGGGGATGTCACTTCCATGATTCGATTACACAAGATTCTAACTTCCACCTTACTGGTAGGCTCTCTCCCTTGTTGAACTGATGAAGCAAGCTGCCATATGGAGCGGCTCCCATGGCAAGGAACTGAGAGCAACTTTCAGATAACCACTGGCAAGGAAACGAGGCTCTCGGTGCAATAGCCTGCAAGAAACTGAATCCTGCCCGCTAATATGTAAGCTTAGAAGCAGATCCCTTCCCGGTTGAGCCTTCTGTGGTAACCCCAGTCCTTGCCAACACCTTCATTGTGCTTCATGAGATACCCTGAATACAAGGTGTATAGCTCAGCCATGCCCAGACTCCTGAACCACAGAAACCCTGAGATAATAAATGTGTGCAATTTTAAGCCACTAAGTTTAAGGGGGTGGGGGGTGTTGGTTGTTTTTGTTTGTTTGCAGCAATTGCAATGTACTGATAAAGAAATTGAAGCTCATAGTGGTCACAGAATATAGCTAGAAAAAAGCAGAGCCCAGAGTCATACACTGGGCTACTTGGATCTAAAGTCTAAATTCTTTCTATTACATCACACTTCCAGTTTAAGGCACCCTAACTTAAATATTCAATAGCAGTTGCATACAACCAGTATCAAATAAGATATTCATAAATGGTATAGGTTAATTAATGTGAACAGTTTTAAGCAACCTTATACGCAATTGTTTCATTTCAAAATTATGTACTTCTACAGTGATTTAGGCAAGGCAGCAGGCACTACATAGCCTTTCTTAGGCAAACATCTATAAAGAGATTAAGTCACACCATTATTCAATATCAGTAATGAAAATAATCCAATTCTCTTGACTCCCAACCTACTTAAATACAATCTCGAACTCCATAACAGTTGTTTCATTAACAACTTCCATTCTTCATTTGTTTTCTTTTCTTTTTTTTCAGATCAATTGAGTACTTCCATAATAATGTCCAACATTAAATGAATCCCTCCTACACTTTAAAAGTAATCTTCTTTTAACGTGTTAATATATAACTAACACATTTCAGTTAGTTTCCTAGTAGTGGTGATAGATTTGTACTGAATCATTCATCCTTTTTTCTCCTATTTACTCGGACTCTAAAACTAATGACAAACTTATACAAACTAATGACAAACAATATAGTTAGCTGGTCTCATTTCTTAGAGTTCACTCCTTTCCCCCTTGAGAAATCTCCTGCTCTTCACAGTTTTGTAACCTCCACTTTTACCATTACTAACACTGTCCTGTATACACCCAAGTTAAGTAAGCCATAGCATTGAGAGGAAAAATATGTAACTACTTGGCCAGAAGTAGACTAACATTGGATTTAAGGATTTGTAGTGAAAAGGGCATTGGTGCATGGCAGAAAGAGCAGAAGCTTTGAGGTTAAACAAACCAGAGCTACAGTCTTGGTTCCACCACTAGCTATCTGGCACATGGACACTCAATAAATTTGGTTTTTCTCTCTCCTTTATTCACTCCAGTCCTCGCTCCCCACTTTTTTTCAAGCCTCCAGTGCCAGTGAAGAAAATTAATAGTAAGTAAATGAGTTGGCTCAAGCTCAACTAATATCAACAACAAACATATCTGACCATATTCAGTCAACTCACAATAAAAATGAATGGGTTAGGGGAGGCTGGGAGAAGAAATCCACAAATCCCTGGGAGCAGGAAAGAAACTACAAATCAGGGGGGTTTCTTAACCTGCATACTCCTACCAGGTACTCCTCTGATTTAGGTACTCTACCTGCAGATACTCTCTAGCCCTAGCTGATCCTCCAACAGAACTCTGTGCCCTGGTACCTAGGGATCTCCTTAGAGACAGGGCTCTTCTTGCCAAGACTGAGGATCACAGGTGTCTTCCAGCCACTCCATGAGTGAGACAAGCTAAACAGCTGTGGGGCTCTCAGAGCTCCCCGATAGCATCAGCCACGACCCCCTGGATCATGCACCAGGCCTGGCATAGCCTGTGCTGATAGGGGTTGTGCTGGTGGCTATGGTCCTTTCTCTCCTCATTGCACTTGCTACCAAATGCCACCTCTGCCGAAAATACCACACCAGCTACCAGCACTGCCCACTACCTGAGACAAGAGACAAGAAGGGGATCTGTCCAGAGATGAGTGAAAATGAGGATGAGGATGGCTTCATCAAGGTCAATTGCATTCAAGATAGGGCCTGAGGGCTGGGGACACAGGGTAGCAGGAACCATTTCAACTTCTGATCCCAGATCTTTGGGAACCCCTTGCCCCCCTGACAGCTTAAGAATTGTGAATACTACATGGTAGGCACAAACCTCAGGGGAGGTGGCTAGGGTTTAAGGGTTGACCAGGGTTTGAGCAATCCTTCCTTCCCTAACAATAGCCACCAAAGTGACAGTGACCCTCTCTTGCTCAATAACCTTCAAGGGCTCCCTGCTATTCTCAGGATAAAACCAATCTAGGGCCTAAACTATGGAACTAAAGCCTCTGTCAGCCTCTTGGTTTCCTTTCAAGCCTTTCCCTGGTATGCTCCATACTTAACTAATTATTTTATACCAGATGATAACATTTTAGCAGATAAATATCAGAGTGCCAAGTTTCTTACAGGATTTTTTTTCCCATCAACAAAGTGGGTAATCTTTAACAAAATGGTTAAAAAACATTTTTCTTTTTAATGAATGAGTTAACTTACTTTCTGACACCTGCTGGAGAAGTTAATCTGCATATCACCAACAACTATGTAGAGACACTAACAGATATAGTTTCCAAAATTCAGACTAACATTAAAGCATTACATAATTGTCCAGAAATTATAATGCATTAACTCTACATTGTATAGCAGAAGCATTATCATGGAAAAGCACAAAGGCTTTGAGTCCTGGCTTGACTCCAAGTTATTTAAACTCTCTGGATCTGTTATCTCATCTATAAAACTGTGATAATGGTATCTACCTCACAAAGACTCGTTGAGAGATTAAATTAGATTACATGTGATGTGAAGTGTCCTCGCACTTCACTTTAATGGCTAAACAAATATTCGCCCCTCCCCCCATCTCCTGGTTATCTGACTCATCATTTTTCAAAGACCTTCCTTGAAAAATAGTTTTATGTTCATCCTTCCCTCAGAAATGTGGACTAGTTGGAAATGATGATAGAATCAATCAACTGCATTGTATTGTCTTTTGAACAGTAAAGAATTTAGTTCATGATAACCAGGTTTACAATACTCTAAATATGAAAACAAGATTCAAAACTTTTCATTTTATTTTATTTCAAATATGCTTTTTTCCTAATACAAATGCACCAACCAGTGAAGTTAAGGGATCATTTACCTGCATCCATGGATCAAAGCTACTCTAGCTAAACAGAAATAAGAGCAGATAACGTGCACTACAGTAACTGCCTCAGTAGTCTGCCCTGGTTGGAGGGTACTTGTCTTTTTGCTCTATCATCTTTACTTCCCACTCAAGTGATCTGGAGCAGCCAAGGTAATAATTTCCTCTCCTGAACTATTATTATGGAGCTAAAAGAACATGTATAACATCCTTCTCAGCTTCTTTCATCCATCTTAACCCTGGTTATTTATTTTAAGACTGATCTGGTCTTCACAGAGGAAGTAGCAATACTGTGCTCCCTTCAGGTGTTCAGTTTTTATATATGAAAATTAACATTTCATTTTCCATTTAGTCTCTCAAGAAATATTTATTGTCATAAACTATATGCCAAGGACACCACTAGCCTATAAGTACAAAGGTTTCCAGATCATTTATCAACTTTGTAAGATTGGTTTCCAAGGAAAAGTATATTCAAGATGTATCTATCAAGAAAAGTAAATGATCCAAAAGCAAAAATACAAAACATCAGTCTACACAGAGCAGGCCCTAAATTATGTAATGCCCCGAATTACTTTTTTTTTCCAAATGGCAAGTTGGATATACATTATCTGTTATAACTTCTCTCCTGAAAACAAACACCTTTTTCTCTTGAGGTTAACTCAAAGTGTTGATAATCAACTATGTCCTTTGGTATAACCAAGAGAGCAATCAACCTCTTGCCCGTTTTCTTCTTCCCACCAGGAATGTTCCACAAATGTGCCACTTACTCTCCTAACATATTAACTCTCTTTATTCACTCACAAAAGTCACACATAGGATAAGATTTGGCATATATACCCATCCCAAACCACTAGTAGCTACTGGTGGTTGCTAAGGAAATAAAGAGGAAGTGGTAAGAGTAGACAAGAATAGGAATTAATCTCACACGTATTGGCCCAGACAGGGTAAGTATTAAAATATTTCAGGTTTTGAGGTTAGAGATTTTTCCCCTTGAGAATTATAAAAATATTAATATCAAAACATAGATTTCATTGGCTGCCATTTGTGGCAAATGAATGAATTTGATTTGTTTGAAACCAACTATTTGCTTCTATACACTATTCTTCAAAAAATCCAAAACACCAATGATCACATTTAAGCACTAAATTAATATAAGCCAGAATTGCTGTTACCACTTTGACTAAACACAGGAAAACAATTCTCTCCAAAATTAATTTTCTCAATTTCCTTCAACTACACCAGTTTTATTTTGCATTTCCTTCCCTGCATGAATTTGGAGAACTGTCATTCCCACACCTAAGTTTGAGTCTAATCAACATAAGCTAAAAAGAGAAAGAAAAACAAAAGAAAGAAAATTAGCCCAAGATATTTAAACATGAAAGAATATGCTGAAAATCACACTCCAGTGTCTTTCTTCAAAAATCCAAAACACCAATCCAAATCTAAAAGTTCCAAGCAATGGTTCAGTTTCCCCTTTCCTCTCCCCCCTCCCGCCCCCCCCGCCCCCGCCCAGTTCTGTACACCCTCATGCCCCTTCCCCCAACCCCACTTCGCCCAGACAGAGGGTAACAGTCTGAGCTGCCCTGGTTGAGTTGATCCTAAAGTTAACATTCAGCAGCCCATTTCCAGACAGCAGCGCTAAATCTATTTGGATAAAACGCGTGTGACCCAGACAGTTGGCATTTGGCCCAAACGCGTTGCACCGGCAGCTCAAATAAAAACAAGAGTAAGAAACTCACTCTCTTGTTCCCTCTCAGTGCGCTTTCTCACTCTCTCGCTCTCTTTTCTTCTAGTACAACAAGGAAAGAAATTACTAAAGACAGGAATTATAGTACACATTATCAGAAGGCAGCTTTCCAATAACCCCTCCAGCACTCACCCCCCACCCAAATCCCTAAACTTTGATCCCATGTACCATATAAACAGACATACCCCGATATTCAAGGCTCCGGAGGGATATGAGTCTAGCACGTCCCAAGTGGCCAAAAGTAAATCAAAAACACACGCTTCCATCTCTTTGATTAGCCTATTAAGAGCTTAACATATCCTAGAGCATCGGGGCTCCAGCTAGCACATTAATTCTGCCCTCTGAGCCCAGGCATAAACTATGCACTTGTCTGGCTACTTAAGACACTGACATGAAACCATAAAATGCAGGTTTTTCTTTAAGAAAACTGGAAATCAGTTTAAATACACACCATTATTACTTTCCTGATTACTATTTGGTGATGAGTTAAAAGACCACAATAATTATAATTAAGTCATATTTCACAAAACATATTCTATTCTTATAATAAACGTATATATTTTTGCATCATAAAATACTTGCATGACCCAGAATTCTCCAACCCCCGAGTAGTCTGGAGTTAAAAAGATTTCTATGTGTAAAATGAGTTCAGTTAAGCTCACTCATTGCCATTAAAACACATACACACATACACACACACACACACACACACACACACACACACACACAGAGCGAGAGAGAAAAAGGTTTTCTACGCGTTATTCGGAAGACAAGCAAACCACACGCTTTAATTAAAAAAAAAAAAAAGGTTTCATTGAATATTGTGAAGTCTTCCTTACCGTTTTCATCTTCAAATTCTGATAAAAAGTAAGTTTCAAACAATAGAGATTGCACTGGACGACTCACGTACTCCCTTCTCCTCTCTTAACTTTTTTTTTTCTGCCCCCCTTTGCAAAGCCACAGCAGTCAGTTAGTTATTCTGCAGCCAGAATAAAACCCTATAGTCTGGCTAACCCGGGTTTTAGAGAACGGACTTTGAGATTTGGCAGAAAAAGAGATGCCTTCAATACAACCAGGTTATCATCCTGAGATGCTGCCTTTGCAAACCCCCTTTTTCTCCCGCACACGCCCCCCACCCGGCCAAAAAAAAAAAAAAAAAAAAAAAAAAGGAGAGAGAGAGAAAGAAAAAAAAGAAAGGAAAGGGAAAAAGAAAGGAAGGGAGAAAAAAAGACTTATTGGGGGTGGAAAGGGTGCCCTTTCTCCCTGGACAGCTTAGTGCCTTTGCTATGCAAATAACATGTGAAGAGCATCAAAAGGCACCAGGAGAAAAGAAGACAAGAGGAGCAAAGTTTTGTTGAAGTAGGTCTCACTACCGGCCCCCAGCCAACTTTGAACTGCAGCAGAATATTGGCAGCTTTTCCTCGGAGGCAGAGCACTGACGTCAGTGTGCAGATGTGCCGGCGTCGGGTGCGCATGTGTCCTGGGCCGTCACGTGGAGGGGGAGGGGAGGTAGAGGTACAATCGGGGTAACCAACTACCAGCCATTCAGAAGGGCTTAGGCAATGTCAACTTTTCCACCCTGTGAATGAGAGAAATCCTGGCCTTTCTAACCTCAATCCCCTACCCCACTCCGCCTCTCCTCCTCCTCCTCCTCTAGCCTCTTTTAGAAATTCTAGCCTGGTTTGTGATTAGCTGTTTCTTGGAAAAAGGAAGGGGGAGGGAGAGGATGAATGACTTTAGAGACGAACTCATGTCACTGTTAAGATCTCTGGTGTCCTCTTCCTTGTATGTTTAAATCCACACAACAAAAATACTAAAAATTGCACATAAACAGTACCTTTGAAGACACTTACAGCAAGTTCACATCAGTGACAGATTTCAAGACTCCGTAACCACATGTGCACAAAATGCCTCTCTCAAAAAGACATCTCTACGAGTTATATTGCCACAGCAAGGGAGTATAGACGAAAGTAAACTAAGACCAGCACATTTTCCATCCGATTACCGACTTCAGGTTATGTGGGGCTTTAAAAGGAAAGGAAAAAAAAAAGTGGGGGAGGAGGGAGCGGGGGAAGAGAAAGAAGCTTGCATTATTTCCAGATGAGGGTGAGACTGGATGGTGTTTTAAAGTGCAACCGGGGAAAGCTACAAGTGGAGTGTATTTTTTTAATTCAGTACATTGAATGAAACCTCAATGACTGCCCAAAAGAAAATAAATCCAAAGTCAGACCCCCAGAAAAGAGGGGGGCGGAGGGGGAGAGAGGACGGGAACCTTGCTGTGATCTGAAGATAAACAAACAAAACCTCAGAACTGGCTCTTCAAGCTTCCCAGTCCCACCCTCCCGCCCTCCTCCCCCTACACACCAGAAGCCAGTCCATACTTTAAGGATAAAGCGCCACTACAACGTAGCACTTTCACTTTCATTTGCTGGGAGAAAGCCACTGGCATAAAACTGTGGGGGAAATGCCCAAATATGTTTTCCATGTCCTAAGCGAGCAAACAAAGTCTGGCACACTAATCGGAAACAGGAGAGGGGAAAAAAAGTGAAAATAGCTCAGGACAAATGTTGTCTTTCAGCGGTGGAATCTGCTGCATCATTTATCTGTTTCTACCGTTGAGTGCAGGATAGGAAGAGGTTTAAGAGTTTCCAAGGTTGGGGGTGGGGGTGGAGGAATTGACGCCTTGAAATTCCAGTCGGTAGTTAACGCCAAGTCAATTTCCGATGGCCAGAACCAGAAAAGGGAATTGGACCGGAGGGAAGGGGGTGGGGAGGAGGACCTTTCTGAAAACAGGCGCTTAAGTTTCAAGCTTCTGCTAACATTATTGCTCATTTGATTTTTTTTTTTTTTCTTCCTACACCGGAGGTAGTAGGTGTAATTCTTCTGGTGAATACATGAATAGTTGGCTAAAAGAAGGCATGAATCAGACTGAGAACGTCCAAGAATTCTTTTTTGAGGGTTGAAAGGGGAAAGCATCTGTCCACAGTCAATAGTCCTCATCTTGACCTTAAATCAGTAGTATTTGGCTCAATGCCATTTAAAACGTAGAAATACGTTCTGTGGCTGGCATTCACAGTTTTAAATAAAGATGATTCATATAGAAATATAGATATTTGCATTAGCACACAAGAGGTGGCTGATGTCCTAGCAATAATTATAAACGTCAAAAATAAGAAGAGTAGCCACAGAGCTGTTTTTGCATCAAACCCATCCTTTAAATTGTTGTGGACTTGGTCCTTAATTTTTCAAAAACTGGTGGTGGATAAACACAGCCATCGCAGAAAACTAAACTTAAGGTGTGAATAGTAATCGTTTCTATGAGCTATTTGAAAAATTTTTACTCACCACTAAGACAAACTGCCTAGGAAGTAGCAATATTGTAAAGGAAAGGAGCTTATCCAGTGAGAAGTGGACTTTGACTAATTACTTATTCAAAGAGTGCCATCCTGCGTCTAAACAGAGTAATGAAAATTTCCCAAAAGATTCCTTTTCTCCTCCAAATGACTGTGAATTTAAAAAACAGTATTAGTAAGGGTGAAAAATGATTAGCGAGAGAAATGGATCCATGTGTATGTGTGTATGTGTGTGTTTGCATTTTAATTGCATTACAGAGAATTCCAACACATACAAAGTAGAAAACTCCAATGTATCCACCATCCAGTTTCAACAAACAAGTTTTGTGGCACACACATTCAAGTAAAATAAAAGGACTAAAAAATAACCATTACTACATCACTACTACTCTTAGAAAAATAATTCCTTAATTTCATCAGATTTCAGATTTTCTCAATTGCAAAAAAGGATTTTTTAAAAACTTCCTTTTATTGGAATCAGGATTCATATATTGCATCAGGTTGATCTCTTGTCTCTTTTTAAAATTTTGTTGTTGTGGTTTTAATCCTCAGCTGAGGTTATTTTTCCACTGATTTTTAGCGAGCATAGGAGAGAAGGAAGGATAGAGAGAAACATTGATGTGAGAGAAGCACGTATATTGGTTGCCTCCTGCGTGAGCCCTGACCAGGTCCGGGGCTGGGGAGAAGGCTGCAACCAAGGCACCTGCCCTTGACCAGAATCAAACTCTTTGGTCTTCGGGCCCATGCTCTATCCACTGAACCAAACTGGCTAGGGCCCTTGTCTTTTTTTAAAAAACTTTTTATTGAAGTAGAAAAAGCATACAGAAAAGTGCATAAATATAAAACTTGATGAAAGTGTTCAATCCAATAAATCTTCACAAAGTGTGCCCAAGTAACCATGTAACTCTTTTCATCTATTTCAATCTATCAGTTCTCCCTCATTTATTCTTTAACCTGAAATATAAATGCTAAGTTAATAACTTGTCATCTTAATACTACATATAGCACTTTCATGTGTATGCAAATGTTTTAGTGTAATATCGAGGCATTAGTTCTTAATTTAATCATATGAGACAAATTTAAATTTAACCCTGAATGAATTTCAGTTGCAGTAGAAATTCTTTAAAATTATTTTAACAACCAATCCTTTACTCTTCAAAAACTTTTTCCTATAGCTTTCCTTTTCTCTGTTAAATTAAGAAATGAAGACAGAGTAGAGTTGATCACAAATCCCCTATTTATACCTACAAAAAGCTATGTGAGTGGTCCTTAGAAGCCTAATAAATCTAAGTGAATAGAGCCCTTTCAGGAAATCAAAGATGGAATAAAAGGAAATTTGAGAGGAAGCAATTTGTATGTATGTATGTGTGTATGTATGTACACATGTATGTATTAATGAATGTATGTATTTCAGAGACTGAAAAATAGAAGCAATGTCAGAAAAGTTTGAGAGCCAATGAATCGGGACTAAGAAACTTTTAAAAGTAAAAAAGTAGACTCCTAACTTATAATTTTTAATAGATAAGCATGCAAATTTAACTTAATTTTTTAAATAAAAACTAAGGCATTTCTTAAAACTAGACTATACTTGTATTTTAAGAAAAAGAGATGAAGAATTCTGATTTTATGTTTGCTTGGAATTATTAAATTGGAGCAGGTGACTATCTCTAAAGAAGATAAATTTTGAATTCTATATCCCAGACATTAAAATCAGATTCAGCCCTAACTGGTTTGGCTCAGTGGATAGAGCATCAGCCTGCAGACTCAAGGGTCCCAGGTTCGATTCCGGTCCAGGGCATGTACCTTGGTTGCGGGCGCATCCCCGGTGAGGGTTGTGCAGGAGGCAGCTGATCGATGTTTCTCTCTCATCGACATTTCTAACTCTCTATCCCTCTCCCTTCCTCTCTGTAAAAAAATCAATAAAATATTTTTTTAAAAAAATCAGATTCAAGCCCTGACTGAGTAGCTCAGTTAGTTAGAACATCATCTCAATATGCCAAGGTTATGGTTTTGATCCCCAGTCAGGACACATACAAGAATCAACCAATGAATGCATAAATTAAGTGGAACAACAGATCAATGTTTCTTTCTCTCTAAAATAAATTTTTAAAAATTAAAATAAATTTAAAAATAGATTCAACACATTAAAACCAAAGTTTATACACTTTCTACACATACATTTTATTCTTTCAGTGAGAATGGATTTGAATTTGATATAGTGAAAACAAATATTTTTTAATCTTTTGAAGGCTCATTGTAGCATTTCTTAAGTAAGATGCAAAAGCTCAAAGCATAGAGAAAAAAACTGATAAATTTAACTTAAATTAAAAAGTTAAAAACCACTAAAAAGTAAAATATAAGCTAGAGATTAGGAGAATTTTCAACACATGTAAGTGAAATATAACAAATATCTAGAATATTGAAAGAACTATCACAAATCTATAAGACTGTCAACATAAGAAACTAAGAAACATATCCACTTACATGTAGAGTATTTTTATGAGTTTCGTTGAGCCAAACTGACGACAGTTGCCAGGGAGCAAAATCTCAATGAATTGAGAAAATGCTCCGGAGAATGGGAGTTTTGCAGCTTATTTTATACATTAGAATAAAAGGAGAAGACGTAAGAAGTGTTATATGAAATCCATTGGTGGTAGATCAGGGAGGCGGGAGAAAGCAAAGCGTGGAAATCTCTGGGATTGGATAGAAAGCGAAATGGAGAGACACGCACTTCTTTTACATT